ATAAATAAAAGCCCCTGCTCACTGGCACACCTGTTCCCAAAAGATTCATCGAGCGTCTGCTCTTTGGAAGGCCCTGGGTTAATGGAGACACCAGGATAAGGGAGACCCACCCCTGCCCATAGGATGAGACAGTCTAGGAGCTGCAGTCATACTCTTAGGTGGTGTGATGTCCTCTAAGTCCGAAAGAACAAGTGCCGGAAGGGTTGAAGGGTGGTGCTTCTGGTGAGAGCAGTGGGGTGTGGGTGCCCTGAGCAAGGGCAGTTTGGGGCTTTGGGAAACTGCAGTTCCTTCTGTGGGAGTTGGTTGTAATGAAGCTGGGTGGTGGCAAGGACCAGACTCTCAGACCCTGTGACTCGTGAGTTAGGGCTGAGAGCAAAGCCTGGAAGGGAAAACCACCCTGAGCAGTTCCTTCTGGATGGTGAGCAAAGCAGAGAGGTATTCCAGTTGGGGCAGGTGTGGAAGGTGTCCCGTGCTCTTGTCCACTGCGGCTGAGCAGAGTGCAAGAACCAGGTGATTGATAATCATCCTCTGCAGGGATTTCCTGAAAGATAAGGGTGAATGCCCGATGAGGTGAGGCCAGGAAGGGCACTGGCCAGGTGTTCATCAGCCCGGCTGGGAGAACTAGAGCTTCTCTATTAAAATGACATTTTAATTAGGTTATCTCAAGTGTAATTTGGACAATTGTAAGCAAATATCAGGGGTTGGCAATGCCCCCGATCTAACCGGGTCCCAGGGCAGTGTGCGCTGAAAGAGATGGGAGAGACAAAGACACAGGCACAAAATGTAAGGTGAAAGGCTGCGGGGAAGATCAGGGGACCACTAGCATTCCCGTGAGCCAGATGAAACTGACTGAAGTCTAGCACCCGTTCTTATTCTCTTTTTCATGCTATAGATTACAATGATTTCACTTGAAAAGCTCATGGGTTACAATGTGTAGAAGTCTCAAGTCTCCCCTAATTGTCACAAGATGTCTTAGCTAATTACTCTTTTATCTATAGAAGCAGGAACACATAGGTCGTTCCTAAGCCCAACTGCGCCTTAAGGTGTGTATAGATAGTGTCTCTGAACTCAGCAGCTGTGGCGCATTTGGTTGAGGAACAAAGAGATTAGTACTTCTATTGGGAAGTAGCTCCCCATTAACTGAGGCGTTCTACTGAGAAAGGGGAGGGAAGGAACTCAACAGGGTGTTTATAAGAATTGGAGCCTGGGTCCTTTCTACCGGGCTGACAGTTTGCAAGCTTCCTTTACAGCCACGGGTGGATTTCATGTCAAGCCGCTCTGCGGCTTTTTAGGCATGAGGCCCCTCAGGCTTTAAGGTGGGAGTCTGCTTTGCTGTACTCCCGGAACGCTGGAATGTCCCCAACTAGGCAGTTAACTACTGCCCTTATCTCCGGCTCCTGCTTAGGCAGCATTTCTTCACAGCCTCTCCTCCCACGGCCTCAGAAATGGGGTCCCTCAGCCCTGGTGATCTTATCCCCATCAAGGCCTAGAGTTTTGGTGTTGATGAAATGAATGAAAATAGCGGTTTGCCTGGAAAAGCAGCTGGGAGGGAGGGAAGGAGTTGGTCCTTGACTCAAATTCCAGGAGCTTTGAGCTGTATCCAGTGGGGAGGACTCCCGGAACCCCCAAATTTTGATGTACATCCTCTAGGAGGGAATGCTCACTGAGTTTTATTTATGAGAATTCCTTTTGGGCTGATTAACAATTCCATGTCCAGTGGAGCTGCATATTCTGTGATATATCTTGGAGAAGAACAACAACAACAACCTCCTAGCGTGGTCGTGTCCGGGATCAACGAATGCCAGAAGTAACAGGGATCTGCCAATCGTTACAGATCCAGCACACGCCAGGCGCCGTGCCAGGTGCTTTACATACACTGTGCACATTGCGACAGTCCTACAGGACGGGGCTTATGAAACCCGTGTCACAGCTGAAGAACCCCATGTTCACAGGGCTTGGTCATGTTCCAGGATCACAGTGCTAGTAAGTGACAGGGCTGGGACTAGACGCCGGGCCTGAATCCTCCGGAGCCCGCTCTGTTCCGGCTCCTCCCAGCTGTAGGCCGACCTCCTGGCTCCACTCCATTTCTCCTCGCGTCACTGCATCACAGCTCTCAGGAGGGGCTCGGGAAGAAGGCCCCTGAGGCCCAGGTGCCAAGGCAGGCCTACAGAATGTGGCAATGAGGACCACACACTCTCGGGGCTTGCCTGTGGTTGCTTCCTGGAGAGTGACTCTGCAAGGTGCTTTGTGTCAAGGCCCTGCTCTGTCACAGCTGATGCTCCTGCATTCCTAGCCTTCCTCTCCTCCCTGGGCACGTGGGCCCAGTACAGTCCCAGCATTGCTGTCCTACCCCAGCACTTTCCCACATCACAGCGCCCTTCCCCTGGTCGCTCCCACATGGCCTCCCTCCTGACTCTGGAACCTGAGCTGCTGCCAGCTCCTCCCTGCTGCCTCCTCTGGAGGCTGTGCAGAATCACTGCCCTCCCTGTGACACGGAGCATCGTAGCCCCTGCAGAAGCCCCCTGACTGTCCCAGAGCTTACCCTCCTTCCCATCCCCTCTGATAGCCACAGCCCCTTTGATAGAGGAGTTCCCTCAGGACTGGGATTTTTGGCCACCTGCTCATCCCTCTCTGGGTGTCCTCAGCACACCCTTTGTATTCTCACTGGGCTGGGAGGACAGACTGACTTGGCCCATAATCTACTGGTCCTGGGGCTGTAACCTGAGGGTAGACAGAGGGCTTTTGAAGCCACTGCGATAATTGCAGTAGCATCTTAACAAGTTTCTCATTCGAAGCCGGGAACTGGACACAGGAACAGATGAATGAGCAGCTGCTTTAGACAGTCAGCACGTAAACTGCCTCATACGTGGTAGATGGGGAGTGACCACCCACCGAAGTTGAATTCTCAAAAGCCCTGGAATCCTCCCAGGAGGTGAAAAATGGCTCCTTGGTGGACACGCTGGCTCGAATTTGAGTAGCGAAAAATAATTTGGCCAGCTCTCCACCGCCTCCTGTCTGGCACCTGCCCCACCGGAAAAGACTGGTTTTCAGGGCTCCCCATGGCACCTGTACAGGTGTTCAGGCATGTTC